AAGAGGGAGGGTGTCCTCATGATGGGTGGGCCACCCACAGCAGTCCCAGGAGGGGCTCACCCCCCCAGCTGTTCTGTCTGCAGCTGCACTGGCTGAGGGCCTCTGCCATGGAGACCTGAGCCCGTAACACCGAGCCCCTCAGCTTGCTGCCCAAGAAAGGCGACCTGACCTTGGCCAGCGCGCAGAGTTCCTGCCCAGAATGCCTGCATGGTGGACACGGGCATTCGCCACGCTCTCTTTAGCTGTTGTCCTTCTGCGGTGGCTGCTCTGGAGGTGGGGCATTTCTGGCCAGGAAGGAGCTGGGGATCCCTCCTGGACTAGCCCTGGGCCATGCCGGGTCGATGCTGAAGCCCAGAGGTGTCGGCTCCAGGCTCAGCACCACTTCGGTAGCTCAGCTGGTAGAGCGGAGGACTGTAGGGCGCCCCCCCCCCCCCAGGCATCCTTAGGCCGCCGGTTCAACTCCGGCTCGGAGGAGAGCTCTGCTTTTATCCCCACAGAAGAGCAGAGTGGGAAGGGGCTGGAGGGGCAGGGGTCCAACCCCTGCTCAGTGCAGGGCTCCCCGTTAGACCATCCCTCTTGGATGCCTGTCCAGTTGCGTCTGAACTCCTCCAGTGTGGGAGAGCCCGCAAGCTCCCTGGGTCGTTGGATCCATTCTTGGACAGCTCAAACAGTCAGGACATTTTGCCTGATATTTAGCTGGAATCTGGCTTCCTGCAACTTAGAAGCACAGAAACAGAGCAAGTTAGAAGGGGTCTCCCGGGTCATCTAGTCTGACCCCCAGCTCCAGCCAGCTCCACTCATGCCAAGCCCACCATGTGCATGTCCAGCCGAGCCGTGAACACCCTCACCGATGGGGCCTCAACCACCTCCCATGGGAGCCCATTCCATACCCTGGGGTCCTACCTGTCAGGAAGTACTTTCTGGCAAAAGAGAGCCATGTCTCCCCGTCAGGGAACTGAACCCCGGTCCCCCGTGTGACAGGCGGGGATACTCACCACCATACTAACGGGGGGGGGGGACCTGAAAATCTATGTGGCCCCACCTTATTTATTTTCCTGATTTACCTCCCTCTTTTTCCTGCCACCGAACTCAAAAGTGGCTTCTTTCATTCTCCTCTTACTGCTAGAAATCCCTCCTTTTTTCTCACAAAGGACTCAGCGCAGCCAGCATTCTCCGCCTCTTGCAAGCAGTGTTGTCCCCACAGCAACAACCACCCTGCGAGGTAGGTTGGGCGGGGGGTCCGCGACCGGCCCAAAGTCCCCTGTGGCCTCCATGGCCGGGTGGGGACGAGGCGGCCTGGGTCCCCGTCCTGCGCTCGGAACGAGGCCTCTATGCCGGCTCCCTTGGTGCTTCCGCCTGTCCGAGAAAAGGGGAACTGGAGCTCGCATGGCCTGGAAGGGATCCCCCTGCCGATGAAGCCTGCGACCGCCCGTGCCTGTTTGCAGCGCCATCGCATTGTCGGCCCACATTCAGGTTTTGTCAAAATTCAACCGGCAAGAGGGGAATTCTCTGCAGCGGCCAAGAGCCGACCTGGCCCAAAGGGGGCGCCATGGAAGC